TAAACTAACACTAAATTCGATGGATATTTAACATCCTACTATTTTTAGTTTTAATGTCTAACTTATGAATAATATAGCATTTTACGTTCTTATTTAAAGAAATTGATAGAGAATCTAATGGCACATTTGTTATTAAGAAGAAATTATGGATATTATATCATTGATGAGCACTCAGATATAGGCATAACGATAATACTGTGAATCTTTAGTTGTCGATCTATTTTCAAAAATATTTCTTGGACTCGCAAAGATCATTTCTCTTTATTTAGACCACGTCAGCGATGTTAAAAAAACAGTTTAGGATATTCTTATCGAAAAGAAAACTCTAATTAGGGCTGACAACACCATCATTGGATCTTAACGATGGATAATCAGACATTCTCTCTATCTGGACGATCTTTGCCTATCAAAACATCATTTCAACTTTATGAGAAAGTGAAATATTTTATCCGTGTTTAAGTTTTCGTATACGAAAATAGTAAATACTACCTCTTGAACATTGAGTGAATTCGCCATAAGAATTCATGATACAACTAAGATTAAGATCACTTCGACAAGCATCAATTTGACTACAAGTTGCATTTGCAAATAATTGTAATGGACACATGCTGCCATTCCAATAACTATTCCCTGGGCATTGACACGTGTTCGTAGTCGATGAACAAGTCTGATATCGATTTTCTTGACAAGCTGAACAAGATTGATTGTACATCGATGCATATAATGATGCTGAAAGTATCATACTGCCAACAATAGACGTTTGAGAAGCCGTCACAATGATTGCTCCATTAGTACGATCAGCTTCGAACAGTCGACAACGGTGTGAACTTGAATCATAATCAAAAATCCGACATGATGGATTTTGACTACATGCAGCAGAGCACAATAATCGACTTCGAGCTGTTTCATTAAAAATCAATTGAACACCATATTGAGGTTGAAATTCATGTCCTTGTAAACTTAAGCTAAATGTGGATGAGTATATAGCATGAGCTGGTGAGCTCATTGCGATTACAACGAAGATGAAAAATATCATCATTTTCCCTAAATGAATGTCTATGAAAATCTAAAATTGATTAGTAAACGTCAGTTAAATTTATTTGTGAAACGTAGGTCTTATTTTGTTGGTGAAGTGTACATCTTTGCTTTTGTAGTTGCTAGTATGGATCGAACTCGTGCTAGAATGTCCTTTAAAAAATGTTCTCAGGAAAAAGTCCTCTGGATTTTGTCCTTGAAAAAATGTCCCTCAGAGTAAATGTTCTTTAAAAATGGTCTTCACGTGAAAATGTCCTACACTCTGAATTGAAGGGTTTAAATGAAATTAGGCCGATATGCAGATGATACTGTAATTCAGAAGCATATTGGTAGACGGTTAGATTATTTCTATAAATGCTTAGTTCAAAATGGAATGAACCAAGTAAGAATGAAAAGGATTGTTCTAGTACGATTGGTGATACATATAACAAATTTAGAAATAAGCACGACTAATATTTTTAAATGCCGATGCGCCATTTAAAGATCGTTCATGAAAACTAATCATCATCTTCCTCAACATCAACTCAATCTTCATCATCATCATCACACTTTCACCCATACCCATACCCACACCTAAGAACCCTCGCACACATCCCACACCTTCACCCACACCTCAAGATTTATTACGCGGGTTTTTTTTGTTGCGAATGAAAAATAAAACCGAATAAAATTACTTGATCAAAGTTATTATGGATCGTTCTTTAAGGTTTACTGAAAGGATATTTTTTGAATGGAGAACATTCTTTAAAGGTCATTTTTACTAGGGACATTTGCTCTGAAGGGTATTTTTAAAGAACAAAAATACAGGGACATTTTTTAAAGGACATTCTAGGCTGCTATCTGTGGATCGGCTTTTCACACCCATCTGCGCCTCTTGTCTCATTAGTTTTCCAATCTATCAGCTGTGTAGAAAAAAATGATCGGGCACTGTAAAAAAAAAGTATGTTAATATACCCTTCAAGGGTTTATGAACGTACAACGTATAATAAACCCTTTGGAAGGGTTTATTACTTTTGTCCCATACCCAAAAAGGGTTTATTACAATTCCCATTCAGACAAGCGGCTTAAAAAACGCGTTAACAATCTTTCAGAAAAAAGAATCCAAAAACAAATGAGTACACTATGATTCTATTTCGTTTGTGTTTATAATGCACGTTAACACGTATTTTTTTATTTATCTACCAGATTAAAATTAAGGTTTTGGAACTTACTGCGTTGCTCTAGGTTCGATCATGAGATGAATTGGTTGATAGTCCAATATGTTATCCATTCGATCAGTCGTACCGTAACAAGATGAAGTAAACAATGCTACTTAAATCGAACGAAATTTTATAGGAAACTGAAAATGATATAAAGTTAAGTGGGACAATTGTTACTACATTTTTAATTTTCATGAAAACAATACAAATATTTTGCATTTAAAAAATTATTTCTTTGGAAATAAAAATGTTCTGTTTAAATATTTAAATAAAATAGGAAAAATTTGTTTTAGAAATATATTTCTTCAAAAAGAATTTTAGAAAGATTTAATAACGTTTTGTTCGATTTTTTTCAAAAATTTTCTAACCCATTTCTTATTTTTCTAGAAATCTATAACATATATATTTCTCATACTTTTATAAAATTGTTGATCAATTTTTTAAATCTTTATAAGTACATGTGTTAAAAATAGCACATATTTGTTTCGAGACGTGCATAGGGTGCGGGTCGTAAGAAATTCTATTAGGAGATGTAGATGCAAAATGCATGAAATCATAAATACGGCGTTTTTACGAAATTTTAAGATGTTTTAACGTCTTACAACATGAAAGCGTCCAAATATGTATTCGCTGTAACGCGTTTTTTAAGGCGCTTGTCTGACTGGGCTGTCCCATATGTCAGAAATCGATCCTCATAGTTCTTTCCCATGTATAGTTTCGACGAATCAAAATAGAAAAAAAAAAGAAATAGCTATTTATAAAATATTTTTATACTTATATTATTTGTTTGATATTGAACTAAAGGTAGAGAAATATAAGATTTATAAAGACATATGTGAAACGATATATTCACTTTGAATACATTATATCAATGGGCCGAAATAAAAAGAAGGAAATAATCAGAGAGAAAGTTTTAATACTTCCATTTTCATTTTGAATTTTGAATGGAAGTAAATAGAAGAAAAGATATAAATATATAAGAAAATCACCCTTTTTTCCATTAGCTGTGGCGACGGACCTAAATAAAAGACAACCTGAAATTATTTTTGAAATGTTATTACTTACATTATTTTGAGCTTATTTTCAACCAAGTAAACCAAGAATATAAATATATTGAAGTAAAATGCCTACTTTAATTTGTACTATTGGATGGATGTAAAAACAAACCTTTTTTCTGAATACCACTGTGACTTTGGAACAAATCGGCAATCGCCATAAAATCTTTCAGATTGATTTAACTCAAAGTTTTTGCATGAAGTTGCTTACGTGAAGCCATCTGATTTTGATTTTTAAGCAATATGCGGATTGAAGTTTAGCTCGAAATGATTCAAAATTTATTAGCGAAATTAGCGCTTCTATATCATACCGTTATGTTTTACGTAACAGGTACGAAATGAAAAGTGCATCGACGTATGAATGGCTGCATTGTGAGAAAATGATTGGATTAACATGTTAATTATATTAACCTGTTTGAAGTGCCCTGTGAGAAATTTTCATGATATATATATATATCAGTTGAGAAAAGTGTGATCCTTTGAACGAAGAATAAAAAACCTCTTTGATGATGGAGTAGAACAATAAAATGCCCACCGTAGAATAAAATACCCTTTTTAAGAAAGTAATAAACCCTTTTCTCGAATCCGCATATTCAAATACCCTTAGTAAGAGAGAATGCATCCTATTCCGCAATGTTCAACATTCCGGAACCAATTCCATTCAATTCCCGGAATTCCGTTTATCACTTTCAACACAATTTCGGAATTCCCGGAATCGCTGACTACCAATTCCATGTAATTCCCGGGATTCTCGGAATCACTGCCGATCAATTCTATCTAATCCCAGGAATTCCGTTTATCCGTTCCGATTCAATTCCGGAATTACAGGGAATTCCTACGGATCCCACCTAATCCCCATCGATTCCGGAATTCAGCGCACCCACACTGATATTCACACGCACACTCATGCAACACCCGCACTAGCACTCACACTTATCGCAACACCCACACTGACACTCGCGCCATGCAATTCCGGCACGGAATTCCGGGAATTAGATCGAACAGGAATTAAACGGAATTACACGGAACTCCTGGGAGTTCCCAGTGATTCTGCTTTCGCCTAATTCCGGAATTGGTCTGGATTCCGTGGAATTCCGGGAATCGGACGAACGAATTCCGGACTCGGACCAACTAATTCCAGAATCGGACGAGCTAATTCCGGACTCGGACGAACTAATTCCAGAATCAGACGAGCTAATTCCGGAATCGACGGAACTGATTCCGAAATGTTCAACATTGCGGAGTAGGATGACTGCTCTAGTAAGAAAGCAATAAATCATTCTCTCGAAACCGTATATTAAAATAACGTTGGATATAAAATTATATACCCTTCTCCTTAAATCTCAGAATAATAAACCCTTCTCCTTAAATCTCAGATTAATAAACCCTTTTTCTTCTTGTATCATCTTTTTTTCATATACCCTTCGTTTCATAAACCCTTCGAGGGTTCAGCATGATTTGTAGGAAGGACAAGGGTTTACTATTCTCCTCTTTTTATTTACAGTGCACTGGGAACGAGACCACGTTTTGGTAGGGTGTGGATGTCCGTATTCTTATTCTCAGTCACACACACACCCTTCACAATGCTTATGATGACCTATAGCATTCCACACGTAGTAGTCTAAAATGTTGAGGTTAGGACTATTGTGGGGGAGGGGGGGCGGGCATCGTTTTTCATCAATGAATCGTGCAAAATTGTTTTTAATCCACGCTATCGAATCTTTGCGCTTGTGTGCGGTTGCGTTATCTTGCTGTAGATAAAGCCATCACTTAATAGTCGTCGACCTTCAGATACTGCATGTGGCACAACAATTTCAATATAATTTTTATGTGTTAATGTTTCACCAGGTTGAAAAATAATTGGAATGGAACAACCATTTTTCGATATTGCAAACCATATCATAATTCTTTTTGGAAATTTGGCTTTCAATCTTATTTTTTTATGTTCGTTCGCATCCTGTCGATAAGCAGCATAAACGCGACCATTTTGATGATTGCAGATGCCATCCAATTCGAAATATTTTTCATCAAAAAATAAGATTTTTTCTTGATCTTGTTTTCTTAATGACTTTCGAACCCAATACGCAAATGATACTCGTCCTTGTTTATGTTCATCTTTTAGATTCGACTGAATCGTAACATGATAGACATGTAAATGAAGATCATCATGAATAATTCCACCGATTGTTCCTTTCGAAACACCAAGTGAATTAGATAATTTTCTTGCACTTCGTCGACTTTAGTAAATTAGCCTATTTTTGACTTTTCGAATAAGACCTTTTGTTCTTATAATTCTGGATCTACCAGGAGGTATTTTTAAATCAATTGTACCGACACTTCTATATAGATGTTGCCATCGTCTGACTGTTCGTTCACTGACCACCTTTCGTAGTTCTTTGGCAATTCGTAGTGACGACATATCATCATCAGTCATTCGGAGTACGAATTTTTGAATATCCTTAGATTTCATACTCAAATTAAATCTAAAAAGCACTTTTCAGCTGATCTTTTGTACTTAAGTAGGAGGTGAAGTAGTCAAAAAACATGATATATTAATAAGTGAAAAATATGCATAAATGCTATATACTTTCATTGGTAAGAAAGCCGGCCATTTGTTATGGGGCACCCGTTATATAACGAGTCTTCTCTAATCGAGACGATGGCTTCCGAAGATTCTGGTGAAAATCCCTAAATATTATCTCTCATTTTTTTAACCACATGCATAGGTTTGAGTTGCACAGTGTGTAGTTTCGTGTGATGACAACCACAGATCGCTTCGTGTTTGTGTTCCGGAGTTATTCAACTTCTGTCAACATATCCTGTCTCAAAAAGTACATTTATTGCATTTCATCAACAACAAGTGTTTGCTATTCTGCCCACAGTAAAATTTGAGAGAAGGAGAAAAAACTAAAAACTCTACGAACATTGATTTTCATCATGTTAACCTACGGAGTTCATTTTCATCTACACTACGCTTTTATGCATGTTCCAAATAAACGCACGAAAATCTGTGAAATTTTCTCATCAGAGACAAAAAAAATGTAGTATGCAATAAATACAAGCACAGGCTTCTAATTCGTTTTCATATCGACCTTTCTTGAAAGGGCTTCTAATATGGAGGGGCTTCTATTATGGAGAAGGGGGGTGAGGGTTACAGAAAAAGAATGAAAAGCTGTCACAGTTTATCATTCGTCATTATTTAAAACTTTCATTTCCGAGAGAATAGACAGGAAAGCAGGAAAATTAAAAAAGGTGCGAACCTGGGAAGAACTAAAAACACTCTCTTTCAGAGAAAATAGAAAGGAAAAATTATCCTTTCATTTCCTTTCTGAAAGTAAAAAAAAAGTACCACTTCTAGTAAATAGTGCACTACGTCTTACCATTCGTCATTTCAAACATATATTGTAAGTAAATGTCTATTCTTAATACATTCTCGCCTGCTAGTCTATCAAAGAACGAGGGACGTTTTGGGGTAATATCGTCCCAATTCGAAAAAGACATCGGTTAAATCTGAACGTTTCCCAAACTGCAGAGCGCGTTGATCTATATCATTTATACAAGTTTTGGCTTGATCTGTTGTGCACAAGGTCAGTTGTAGCTTTGCTCATGTGAGCATCTTTTAGGTACAGTGGTTGAATTTCGAGTCGGTACGTGTTCACCAAAAAGAGCATGCTTTATATACCATTCGATACAGAATTTTATCCTGAACAAGACTATATATAGAATTTATAGTCAGGGTTAAGGATTTCTTGCAAAATGTCAACAATACTATTTGGCTGTTTCTATTCTCTGTGAGGTGTAGTAACTGTTGTTGATTCATTTTATTGAGACCCGGAGCCATTTTTTATCATTGATAGAGCATTCAAAAAGCTCACAAATGAGGATTAAAATACGACCAAAAAAGCTTGCCTACTGCGTTTTAGCACCGAATGCACTGAAATTGAGATGGAAATTCGTGATTTTCTCCACAAAAACACAACACAATTGCAGCGCAAACTTCAAATTAGGGATCTACGCAAGAAATTACGTCAATTGAGTGGAATCAAACTGCAAAGTAAAAATAAAAGCTTCTTCATATGCATTGCGAGGTGAGATTTCGCAAAAATATGGAAACTCCCTGTTCTCAATATTAATTCCACTCAATTGGCGTAATATCTTGCGTAGATCCCTTATTTGA